AAAGTAAATGGCGAGGCCAAGTCACTTGCGCAAGTCTTTGATACCGGCTAGTCTACAATGACTTTGACCTTAGCGAGATCCGCTTGAATGTCACACTTGACCCTATAAAGGAAATTTCACCGCGTCGAAGATGCATTTATGCGCATTATCATACAGCTAATTCGTGCGCATACACTTGAGCACCGCTCTCAAATGGACGGTGTGATTTTCCTCATGTGTTCTCCCGAGCCCCGCACAACTGTAGACGAAAATTTCGTCGAAGTATTTTTGTACATACGCCCGGTGGACCGCGCCACAAGAAGATTAAAGTGATGTTGGTGATTTCGACAGCCCTTGAGGAATCACCAGCCACTTCTAGAGCATCCCGCTCGAACTTCCCACCGTTATCGGTGAAATATTGCTCGCTCTCATAAGCAATTGGTAGTACTCATCGAATTAGTCGTGTGCACTGTACTTTGTACATCCAATCATATTGTTTCCAAGAACATCTTTCCTAGGAGCCGGCGTCTGTGCCAGAATAGTGGTAGGGCTGAGTTTATTGAAAGCGTGATCGATACGCCACTTGACATTCGGCTTCCGGACACAAAATGTGGATGTTGAACTAGAAATCTTGCCCTCACACATTGCACGGAAGAAGGAGTCAATGATGTTACACTGCTTCTTACGCAGGGGTCATTGGCGTGTTACGCCAACCGGGTAGACCTCATAACGCACATTTAGGTCCGGAGGTAGGACCGACGGCGGGTCTCTGGAGAAGACGTCTTGAAATTTCTTTACCAAGGAATAGTACAGATCTGAGGAATCCTTCAGGATCGTTGATCCACTTCGTGCGTTCAGCACTCTCTTGGTGTCCTCCAAAATAGCTTCATCTAGAAGCGACGACGATTAAATCTCCTCGTTTGGCCGTATAATGTATACCTCGGCTAAATCGCCTGTCTTCAAGGCACCGCCAATCCCATCGAAGGACATTTCGTCCAGCTTAAGAAGAGCATCCACCGCAGGAATAGTCTAGAGGTGACGTCGCCGACTTTCTCTACCGCCATACCGTTGACAAGGGTGTATAGTTGTTAGCTATCGTCTACCCTGGGACATGCTCGATGCCCTGCGTCGTGCAGTTATCATACGGTA